GTTAAAGGAGTTTAACTGTAAGTTTATTAAAAAGAATTGAAAGTTCAGTATTTGCATGGGCCTTTGTAGCACATTGATTAAAAAGGTACTTCTAGCTGAGCTGGTTATAATAAACACAGTGTATTAGAGAGGGAATTTGGCATTTTCCCTATAGTGGTGTTAGAAACCTTCTAAGTTATAAAGCGATGAGTTGAAACTAGAAAGCAAAGAAGTTCGTATGAAGATTTTAGAGGCAGAGTAATCGGGGAGGATCTGAGGCAGAAACTAACATCAGTGGCAATAGGTGCTGTGCTCTTGACAGTCAAGGCCTGACCTTTAGTTTTTCATCCTGGTAATGGTGATGATAGCTACCATTTATTGATCAATTTCTGTGTTATATGCATGGTGCTAAGTAACTCATTCTTACAATCACTCTGATGTATATATATTATTGATCTCTATTGTAGAGATGAGGAAATTGAGACTTAGCAAAATCTCAGTTTGTTCCAGGCAAACTGAGTTTGAGTGGCAGAGCTGGGATTTGGACCTATGGCCATCCTCTTCTAAAGTTCATTCTAGTAGTACCACTAAATGTGGCCCTGTGTTGCTTCTCTGCTGATGTCACGCTGCAGGACACCTCCACAAACTTTGCTGCATTTCGCACGCTCTGTGTTTGCCCCCAGGGTGGGTGTTCCTAGTTCTTTTACTAATACTGCAGATATTCCAGGTCCAAGAAGATCATTTCGTGGCACATCTCTGTTCTCATCCATTATGTGTTTATCACTTTTGTGTTTTCATGTACACCGATTTATGTACTTCCAGTTTAGCTGTGTAACCTTGAGCTGAGCCTGTAATACCTGGATCTGTAAAATGGTAAGGTGAACTGCATGGCTTCTGAAACCCCTTCTGTTTTGGGGGTTAGGTATTAACAGAGAAAGAATAGTGGCCATAGGATTCTTGGATGCTCGAGAGCATTGTCCAAAGGACTGGGCTTTTTTTTTTAATCCTGACCATTTCTCAGTAACATTAATGCTCATAAGCTTTCTAATATTCTGGCTTTGTGGACCTTAAGTTATACTAGACATCTGTGAACTACAGATGTGGCCACATCGTCTGAGTTGCTTGAATTTATTTTTTTATTTTGTTATTTTATTTTTATTTTTTGAGTTGCTTGAATTTAGAACTGCTCCACTTTCACACTACCCTCTTTGGTCACTTTCTGCTGCTTTTTTACCTTTGACCCCCTCACCTGTCTTCCCTTTGATCTTTATCCATTCCTACTTTCTGTTACCACCTGGAACTGGGCCCCACTCCAGACCCTTTAAATCAGAGCCTGGCACGGTGGGGCTGAAGGCACTGGCATTTGGTTAAGCTCCCCTCATGGTCGTGTTTGCATTTAGGGCTGAGGCCACGGCTGCCTGCCCCCATGGCTCCCTTTTAATTACCAGTCCTAACTAATAATGAGAGGTGCAGTGCATTCTAATACTTTTAAGGAGTACAGTACTAGTGGCCATTTGTTATTTTCTGTTTTCAATTTTTAATGAAAATTTTGAGTGCATCCTAATTTCTTATATAGTCTGATCTAGAGCGTCTTATGTCCCAGACCTCTGAATACAATAACTTAATGTCAGTTAAACACTGTTAAAGTTAAAATGAACTACTAAGAGGACTGCATTTGAATTCCATGTGGATTCTGAAAGTAGTTCAGATTGTGGAATGGTATATTCAGCAATTTTTTTTTAAAGACGTACATACGTTTACATAGACATTCAAGCATACTTGAAGATTGAAAAGTTATATGCTGAAACATGTAATGATTATGAGTGATGAGATTACAGATGTTTTTTTCTTTTGTTTTCATACTTGCATTATAAATTTTCTATAGTGACCACGTATTTTTCTATATTTAAAAACAAAATTTAAATAGAAAACATACTCTTGACAAAATAGGTTTGTGTGAATGTATGTGTTATTTTCAGCTCTTTGAGGCTAAAATATTCTGTGGGGATATTGAGAATAGTATCATACTGAGAGTGAGCTAATAGCAAGGCTTGGCACACAAAAGCTAGGATTTGGATCTCTTTTATTTTTGTTTTTGCTTATTATAGCTAAGCTAAACTTGTCTCATCTACTGGTTGGCATGTTGTTTTGTTGGACAAGTGGTGTCATGAGACTATTAGTCTAGAACAGGGCCACCAGAAGATGATGCCATTGGTAATTTACTGTTTTGTTTTTAATGCCAGTTAATTCATTTTAATCATAATGTCTGTTATTGGTGGTGCTTTGTGAAAAACTATTACACTAGGAACAGAATGTTGACCTGGTATGTGTTTGTCATTTTACGTTGGCTTATTACTGGGTTTAACATGTGCATTTCAATTTTAATTTTAAATAAAACACAAGTGGAATAAGTAGTTTAGACCACAACTTTAACAGTTGTTATCCCTGGGTACTGTTGTCAAGTAATTTAAATAGTATTTAAAAAGTAAAAACCACTGAATTCCTAACAGATGTTTAGTGTCTACTCTTTCTTTTGTCAAAATAGCTTCCTTGAAAATAAGGTGGGAGAATCTATTGCCAAAATAATGGGAAAATAGCATCGTGTGGTAATGTTTCAGTAGGATAGTTTCTTCTGAAATGCTCTTTTGCTAATCTGTGGGGAAATTTGTGAGCATGCAATTATTACATTTTTATCCACAGAATGGGATAAAGTTGGCATCTCATCCCTCATGGTTGCCAGAGGCAACACACTGATTTAATTTGTGCCCCCGAAGCAGACATTTTTGAATAATTTTAGTGATTTTTTAAAATGCTACTTTTTCTATTTCCTTTATTAGTCTCCTACCTTTTGTTGCTCTCCACTCTTAACTGATGGCATTCTGAGGCATCTTGTATTGGTTGAGGAGAGTAGAATAATTGAAGGTCTAAATGGTTGTCTAGGAGGGCAGCCACTCTTGTGTCCCTGGCAGGCCCAGGGGATAGTGCAGGTTGCATGCTGTCATGGGCCAGCCTGTGGTGAATGCCAGTCCTCTTACAGATTGACAAAAACAGAATAAATCTTAATTAGGCATGTTTGAAACTTGACTTGGACCCTGAAAAAACATACCCTAAAAGAGCACGGGGGGGATTTTGAATCTTTTGGTGCAGATTTGAAATTTCTTGAAGTGCTCACCTCCTCTGTTCTGTTTCTGGCTTCTGCCTTTGATATTTTTGTTATGCTAACTTGTTTAACACAGAGGATCAGCCAGATGCACTTAATTCAGGGGTTCGAGTTGCTGAGGTGCGAGGGGAGAGCTTTCTCTTCCACCTGGGCTGGACAGTACTCTTGCTGGCTGCACAGGGCACACGTTACATACTTAAGGGCTTTAGAGTAAGCATGCCTTTCACAACAGCGCTTGCACATGTAAAAGCCTTTTTTTAATGTAACATGTTTGTTTTATAAGTACGTCCTTCAGATAATCAGGAAGGGGGAGAAAAAGTTAATTTTTATACCATATGTATATGTTTTTTGGGTGCAGAGTGGACACACATATCCACCAGATACCTCCGCGAGCAGTTGGCCAAGATTTCTGACTTTTACCACGTGGCTTCCAGCTCAGGCGACGGCCCTGTCCCTGTGCCACCAGATGTCGAGCAAGCCATGAAGCAGTGGGAGTACAACGAAAAGCTGGCGTTTCACATGTTCCAGGTAACCTTTCTAAGACATTCATGGCCATGTAGCATTCTTTTAAGAAGAGAGCAAACTCCTTACGCGGGTTAGTTTTTCTGGAGGTTAAGTTGTATCTTTATATGAACCTATGAACCAATATGTTTAAAGAAAGCAACCTGAAATTTCTCACATTGAATTGAATTCAAGGTAACACCTTTGCCCTCAGATGACAGCTTCTTATCATAAATATTGATCTCCAGCATTTAATGATGTCAGTTCTTTTCATTCCATTAATTACTTTGTAATCGCACTATTAAGTATAATCTTTTTATTTTGAAAAAATTGGATGTATTTATTCAAAAAAATCTTCCTGCCGATGTCTCATAGTAGATCTCCTTTAGAGTTTAGTAATTCCAAAGATAGGTCATCTTATTTGGCTCAGCTGCAGTTTAAAATGCTGTTGAAGATGCGGGTCAGGGCCTTGAGGCATCACTTAACTATCATCCAGACAAGCTGATGTAAATTATATTGACCAGAAGAGGGCGCTTGTGCTATTAGTTGCCTCAACCTTAATCCTGGTAAGGAGGAAGTGTATTCAACAAAAGTTGTATTGCTAGCATAGACTTTCACTACCTGCTATCTTAATCAGAAAGGAACGGAATTAGAAAGGATGTGTGGCTTCTGAATTTCCCCCTTAGGACTTTCCAGATGGTAAATGATGTTTCTTTCTAAGAGCCCAAAGTAGGAAAAAGCATGGTCTTTTGGGGAAGTAGCATGATTAAAGTCAATAAAAACGACTGTCACAAATCCTAGGTCCGTTTATCAGGACTACTTCAGTGCCTGCTCTGGGCTTTTATGACTTCTTTTGAGCTGAGTTTTTAGTCTACATCTTTTAAAAAGTGTCTCTCAGCTTGCTTAATATTTTTGGGAGAATTTCTTTATGTATTAGGAATGTTGAAGACAGTATCTCTTTAGTAAGAAGAAATTAGGTCCTAAACTGATGAATCTAATTGGAACATTAATGTTAAAATTTAAAAGTCCATTATATTTTTGATTTGTCATATTCTGAAATTTGAAACTGATCCTAGTATGTACACATACAGAAACGAGCATGGGTACACAGACAAAAGTGTCTTGAGGACAGACTGTTATATAGTCGTTGGCAATCATGTCGATGAAGATTCTTTTTAAAAAGTTTTGCATTTACCATCTCTTACACCTTAATGCACAATTCTATTTTATTTATTTCTTTATTAACTTAAAGTTCACTTTTCTGGTCTTAAAATTTTCAGTTGCAATTTTTCTATGACGAACATTTTAACTCCTTTGACTCTAAACATTTAAAATAATAGAAATCAGCAACAAGTAAATATCTTGATTTTGTGTTATGTCAATGTGGTGGTGTTGTAATCTTATAAATATTGAAACTATAATTTATCAGTACAGTATTTTCACACAATCATTGGTAACCATGGTAGAGGGCCACTCCCTGGCGGTGCACAGATATGCAGAAGTTGCTGGGAACAAAGTCAGAATTCATATTAACTACTAAGGTGTTACCAGAATGACCACGAAAGTACAAGTGTCTTTTCCAGAAAACGTAGCTTTCAGCTTCTATCTTGAAGATTCTTTCATGATGTGAATCATAATACAAAACTACACTGTTATCAAATGTGTATGTGCATAGACTGTCATAAAGTAACGTGTGTATTTATATGTATGTGTATATGAAGGCAGTAGACAAAAATGCTAATAGTGCTTATGTCCAGAGAGGCCACACCACCCTTGTGGGGCATTTCAGAAATTTGTAGGTGTGTTATTGATTTTTAGTGTATTATGTTGGAATGTTTATGGTATTTTATTACAAATTGCTTTCATTGCTTTATATTATGGTTAATTATGCCACTATATTAATTTTTAAAGGTATATTTTACAGGGAGGTTATAGTATTTGAAGTTCATTTTAGGACAGAGAAAGAGACTATTAAGGCAGCATTGGATCTAATGGGATTGTTAGTGTCTTGTCAAGATGATGGTATGACGGTTAGTGCTCTGCTCTTTATAATTATTACCACTGGCCAAGTTTTCTCCTATGAATATGAGTTCATACACCCCCGAAATCTAGCCAGGCATTTGATGTGCCTTGGGAATCTAAAAGCTTCTGAATTTCCTGTCTTGTAAGAGTTATTTTTTTTTCAATTTAGAATAAAGCAGATTACCAAAAAACAAAAGCAACAAAAAGCACCCAACCATACAAAATAATATAAGCTTTTTTGTGTGTGTGTAGAATTTGGGCTATGATCAATGAGTTTTACTACAACAAAAACAAATAGTAGTAAAATTACACTTAAGCATATGCATAACAGTGCTCTTTTTTGAATTTTAGTTGGTGTTGCTGTAACATCATTAGTGAAATTTTCCTTTGTTCATTTAAGGAAGGAATGCTAGAAAAACACGAATATTTGACATGGATCTTGGATGTTTTAGAAAAGATCAGACCAATGGATGATGATCTTCTTAAACTCTTGTTACCACTGATGCTGCAGGTACAGTACACATAACCATGAGCCAGTTGATTTTATGGGCAAGAAATGATTGATTGGTAAGTGGAGGTAGAAGAGGGAAAAATTTCTTTTTGAAATGGAATTAAAATATCTTGATGCCACAACACATGAAGTGATAAGAGACTTCTTATAAGTTTTAGCAGTCACTTGTAATGACCATGTTCATAGTTTTTATCCACATGTCCTTTTTAAGTATTCTCACCCACATTGAATTCTCCCATCACTGAGCTATACAGTTCTTTAAATACTGTCTTCTTGTTCACACAGGTTTCAGTGTAAGCAAATCAAATTATCTTTTTTTTTTAAAGATAGAGAGGACTTTCTACATTCTTCTGACATTTTTTTAAGCCACTAGGAATGGGGACTTCCTATTTTAATGATTAGTCTAAAATTTGTTAAAATTTAGGTTATCTGGATGAAATTTATTAAAAAATAAAATTTTCTTGGAAAGGCAAAACATGTATTTGAGTGTTCAAACAGTATGAAGGAGTAACTTGTGAAAAGTAACTCTCTCTCTCACCCTGGTGTATCCTTTCAGAGACTGCACGGTGCCAGTGTCCTGGGTACCCTCCCTGAGATGGTCTTTACCCGTGCTGTCCTTTACAGTAGCCATTAGGCAGATGTGGCTATTGAGCTGTTGAAATATGACAAGTACATATCGAGACATGTTCTTGGTATAAAATTCACGCCAGATTTCAGACTTTGTGCAGAATAAAGAGTGTATATCATATCTCAGGAATAGTTTTTGTGTTGATTACATGTTGAAATGATAACATTTTGGCTATATCAGATTAAATAAAATACATTACTCTTTTTACTTTGCTTGTTTTCTTCAATGGCTACTAGAAAATTTAAAATTATATACGTGGCTTGTGTTATGTTCCTTTTGAACAGCACTGGTCTACACAGTATCTTTGAAGTCTCTTTTTTTTTTTTTTAAAGTAAAAAAATATCTGTATTAAAATAGTTATTTCACCCAGTAGCATAAAACATGACTGAGGTCTGGTGTCCTTGTGTTTCCCAGTATTCAGATGAGTTTGTCCAGTCGGCTTACCTGTCTCGTCGTCTTGCCTACTTTTGTGCCCGGCGTCTTGCCTTGCTGCTGAGCGATAGCCCCAGCCTCCTTGCTGCCCACTCACCCCACATGATGATAGGACCAAACAACTCGAGCATCGGGGCCCCCAGCCCTGGCCCCCCTGGGCCCGGCATGAGTCCTGTGCAGCTGGCCTTCTCAGACTTCCTTTCCTGTGCACAGCACGGCCCCCTGGTTTATGGACTTAGTTGTATGTTGCAGGTAAGTCCTCGGCCCTTGTTATTTTATGTTACGTTTTAGTGTAGGAAATAATCCTGTTGGGACTCTAATTTTCACATCGCAGCTCCAGTTTTTTTCTCAACCAAGTAATTTATAGATTGAAATTTCATGTCTTTATTCCCTTATGTTGGATCAAGCTGAGAGAAGATTTGTTGCTTCCATCCAGAAGAAAGTTATTGCAGTTGTTCTTTATTAGGGCCATTAAGTAGTTCAATGATTAAAAATCCTTCAGGAAACCTGTAGAATGTCATCTGTATTACCATTCTTCTGGAAAGTCAGTTTCTCCATGCAGAATTCTGTAGCTTCCTCAGTTTACATCTTGAATTGGTTACCTCCTCTTTCTTTAAAACCCAAACATTTTATCGGGCTTTATTCATCTGCCAGGCATCACTGCTGTGCGGTTCTTGGCCATCCAGTAGCGTGCTGGCCACTGAGCTGATACTGTCAGGAATGAGATACAGCTCTGTCCTAGAGGAGCTCATGGGTTAGTGTTCAGGTCACATTCCTTGGGCTCTTAAAGGTCTTTAATTAGGGGCTTTGGGACAAGGCTGGCCATGAAGGCATGGTCTCTACTCTGGCAGAGTTTACTGTCTTGTCAGGAAGGCAGGCTTATAAATGGGCAGTTTCTCTATACTCTGACAAGGGCTAATTGAGGGATGCATAGGGATTTAAAGGAGTTGAGAAGTAGAATTTCTAGACCCAGCTGAAATTCTGGGAGGTTTTGTGAATGAAGTGGTCCTGACTAGTGCTTATAATATGAGTTTAGGAAACATTTTAAAAGGGGGAGTAAGAGCGTTTTCGTCAGAGGTATAGTGTGGAAGAAGGCCCAGAGGGTTGATTGGATAGCTTGTATGCTGGTTGGTGTTAATGGAACATAAAGTATAAAATCTGTTGGGGGTCAGGATGTAGAAGACTCCTTATGTGTCTTATGATTAGGATGTCACTGGAGGATTTTATGCAGGCAACTGACATGGTCAGTTTGTGGGTTAGTTAGATTGTTTTGGCCATAGTAGAGGGACGATTTATGGAAGTGGGGAGGTAGAGGAGAGAAAGACAAGGCAAAGAAATAAACTTGGAAGAGTCGAGGTAAGTTCAATTTTGGACTATTTTATCCCTTAGGATCTTCAAGTGGATATTTTCAAGCTGTTGTTACATGTTTGATTCTGAAGATGAGGGGAGACAACCAGCTAGATGTGTGGATTTAAATCACTTAGGGCCACTTGGCTGGTCAAAACTCTGAGAAGGGGGTGAGGTAACTTAAAGAGTTAGTAGTGAGAGAGGATTTGTGGACCCGAGGGGCATAAATTATTAAGACATGGCAGAGGGAGATTGACAGAGGTGAACAGGAAAGTTTGGCTAGACTGTAGAGAGAATGGGGGAGGGAATGTTATAGAAACAAAGATAGAATGAGAAGAATACTGTCATAATTCTGTTAGATTAATAGCATTTATTATTTTCTAGGTACTGTTCTAAGTTGTAACATATTAATTATTTAGTTCTCAGAATCATTCTATGAGATAGGAACCAATATTATTTTTGCAACACTGGTAATGAAATGGTGGCATTAGATCATACAGCAGGTAAGAGGCTAAGCTGGAATTTAAACCCAGATTGGATCCAGTCTGGATCCAGAGTCCACACTCTTAGCAGCCATACTAAACTGCTTCTCTAGGTATCATGGAAAGTTTCCAAAAGGAGTTAGTAGCGAGCAGTGCCCAGTGGATTGGGGAAGTCTGATAAGAAGATGGCTACTTGTCTGACAGCACGATGGCCATTAATGATCAGTGGATAATGGGTGATACGCCAGATTGAGGTGGGTTGAGGGATGATGAAGAATGAGGTGAAGCAAGGCTCTTGTTCTTTTGAGAAACATGGCTGTGAGGGGAAGAGAGGGATTGCTACTGGGCGAGTGGAGATTTTTTAAAAATTTTGTTTTTTTTTGACAAGTAGATTTGAACACATTTCTAAGCTAAAGGTAAACTGGTAGAGAGAGAGTTTGAGAATAGGAGAGGAAGAGTATTTGCTAGATCAGTGCCCTGGATATGGAGGCTTTGGAATTGAGAATGCAGGGAAGAGCTCTATCATGGACAAGAGACGAGAACCCCACATGGTCATGGATAGGAGATAAGAGCCCCACATTGTTACAGACAGGAGGAAGTGGGTAGGAATGTGCGCCAGTGGAGACAGATGCATTGAAGGGTTTTGGGACTTGATAGTCTCATATCTGCCATCTGGTTTCCATAAAGATATCTCTTAGAGTTCAGAGTCTTGTATTTTTACGTTTAATTTCTTTTTTTATAAAAAAGAAATCTTGCATTCTTTCTCTAAGCTTGCATAGTTTGCTGTTGAGTGGCATGATAGCATAAAGGTTAAGACATATTTTATAATCATTGCAGACCTGATTTTAGCTGCTGCTCTGCCACTTAGTAATTTTGACCTTGAACCTCTATTTCCCCACGTGTGAATGGGAGATGATGACAGTTCTTACTTCATTACCTCATAGGGTTAAGGTTATGATGACTGAAACCTTCTAGGAAAGTGTTTAGCACAGAATAAGTGCTTAATTAATTGTGAGCTATACTATTTAATTTGCATTTAGGAGGCAGCAGGCTAGCATAGTAGTCCTAAGCATGTATACTGAGATCAACTTGGGCTTGTCACTGATCTCCTCTGTGTCTCATATTCTTCTTTTGTACAGTTGGGGAATAACAGTACATACCTCAGAGTCATTGTAACATAAGGAAGATGGTCATAGAAAGGGCTTTGTGTAAGCTGGCTGAGTACAACATGTTTTCAAGGAGGTTAAGCCAGGATAGACAAGCTACAACCTGTGGGCCAAATCCAGCCCATGAGCTATGAATAGGTTTTACATTTTGAATGAATTGGTAAAACAAACAAAAAAAAGAGCATGTAACAGAAACTATAGCTGGCTTGAAAAGCTTAAAACATTTATTGTCTGGAGTTTTACAGGAAAAATTTGCCAACTGCTACTCCAGGGTTACTGCCTGCCCCGCATTTATGAAGCTACTTACTGCATTTTTATTTGAGAGATTTAAATAAAAAAATCATTTTTAGATTTTATCACTTTAGAAATGACATGTTTAATTCCATAGCATTTTTTTAAATTTCATGAAAAAATAGTTTTAAGTGACAATTTTTAAGTGATTACTGCATTTTTATTAAGTTTCCTAGGTTTCCTGTGCTGAATATTAGCTTATGAATTATAATATTCTTAATTTCTCAATCACTGTACTTCTCTTTCAAATTAATTATTTTATCTTAGTTTTATCACTGGAAAAGTTGAGAATCAGGTAAAATATTCATATTTTTAAATTCAGTGGTAGGAAACTATAATAGTTAGGATAAGGTGTCATTTTTACTGTTAAGCTGTTGTTATAGTTTTTCCTTCTTCTAACTATCTGGATTTTCCTACTTTGTTTCCAGACTGTCACTCTCTGTTGCCCAAGTGCCTTGGTGTGGAATTACTCCACAAACGACAGTAAGAGTGCAAACCCAGGCTCACCCCTGGATCTGCTGCAAGTGGCCCCCTCTAGCCTCCCCATGCCGGGCGGGAACACGGCTTTCAATCAGCAGGTAGGCTTTCTGTTGCTGTGGTTTGACGAGCGTTCTCTCTCTTGAAAGGCATCAGGGCATAGTGAGCCAAATGGGTTCAGCATCTCGCATGCTTGGTTACCGTTCCTAGCTCTGCCCGCACCTCTCTGAGTGACCTTAGGGGAAGTATTTAGCCTCTCTGAACCGCAGACATTCATCATGTTGCCCCCTTCTTCTCACTCTTTTAATGGGCAGTTCTTGCAGAGAGTTCTGCCACCCAGATGGTAATTAAGGTGGTAGTTCTACTATATGACCACGACTCTCATAGTAGTAATCTGTGATATTTAGTAATTGTTAGATATTTTTATTAGTGTTGGGTTATTTGGGTCGAAGACTTAAGAAACTTGAAACACAAGATAGTGACTAATACTTAAGATCTCTGTTTTTTTACCAAGCAGTTTTCTTAATAAAACATGGCTGGTTGCTTTCATACATGGAATAGCTCAAAGATGACATTTTAGAACTTTCACCTTTCCATACGAAATCCTAAAAAATTTTCACTTGTAAAGATTTTCTGCAAGCATTTATTTATTTATTTATTTATTTGTGGGTATTTATTATTGAAAACTGACATCGAATTGCCATTTGTAAATTTTAAAATGCACTCTTGGGCAGTAGGCCGAATTTCTTACAATGCAGTCAAGATTGTAGTTCACTGTAGGATGCTCTACTCGTGTGGAAAAACCCGAGAAGATTTAGATAACCACTGTGGCTTTCTGAGCACCAGATAATGAGAAGTAATTATCTTTCAGGTTCGAGCAAGGATTTATGAGGTAGAACAGCAGATAAAACAAAGAGGCCGTGCAGTGGAAGTTCGGTGGTCTTTTGACAAGTGCCAGGAGTCAACAGCAGGTACAGAACACAACAGATGGAGTGCTTTTGAATGTTGGACATTTTATGCCATGTTTCTGATTCTTGTAAATCTACCCACTTGTTGAGTAAAGGCAATTTTTGATGGAGCCACCTCGTGAATTTTGAGGATGTTCTTTGGTTTATGCTCTTTAGATCCTGGCTGTTTAGCATGTCAGGTTTGGTTTTATTGGCAGTTCTGTACTGAGAATGATTTCTTAAAATTCCTTTTGCCCCATGTAAGGATGATTCTGTATTATGCTATTCAGGCTTCATTTGATGTCTTAATTTCTTAATTTGGTTTGCTTGATTTCTGCATCTAGGGGTGACCATCAGTCGGGTTTTGCACACGTTGGAAGTGTTGGATCGACACTGTTTTGACCGAACTGATTCCAGCAATTCAATGGAAACGCTTTATCATAAGATTTTCTGGGCAAACCAAAACAAAGATAACCAAGAGGTAGTTATTTCTGTTCTTTGTTTCACTTTTTATTAGCATCTTTTCTTCTTCTTCTTCTTTTTTTTTAATTCACTAAATTCTGGCAAAGCCTTTTCTTTGAAGTGTAATATCTTACAAAGAGGTCTAAAATTGTTTTATCGTAAGACTAAATGACACCCTGAAATTGTTTTATCGTAAGACTAAATGACTCACTCTTATTAAAATAAGATGTCCATTGTGCTGGCCTACCTAAGTATATTGATTGGGAAGGTTTTTCTTGATCTTTTTATCATCATTCCTCATTTTAGTTTTAGCATGGTTTGGCTTGAACTTGGGAGGGAGGATAATATGGTGATGCTGATATAAACAAACGTACTGTGCTACCTGCCAGTCGTATAAAAGCTAGCACATATAATTATGTACAGAACATAATACTTGATAATGATAATAAATAATTATGTTACTGGTTTTTGGGTTTACTATACTATACTTTTTATTGTTATTTTAGAGTGTACTCTTTCTACTTAATAAAAAAAATAGTTTGCTATAGAACAGTACAGCATGTCACACTGGCAGCAGCCTCATACGTCTTGTGTTTACCATATCTCATTGCATCATTTTCTCTTGCGCTTGATTTAATCTCGTGTTGCTTTGTACAGTAAGATGCCATACAGTTTTGTAGCATAGGAACTACAGGCTATGCTATCTAGGCTTGTGTAAATTTGCTCTCATGTTTACACAACAGCAAAATTGCCTAACAACGTGTTTCTTAGAACGTATGCCTGTTGTTAAGTGGCACGTGACTGTATTTTAAGGCAGGGGTCCCCAACCCCTGGGATGCAGACTGGTACTGGTACTGTTAGACTGGTACTGCTGTGTGGCCTGTTAGGAACTGGGCCACACAGCAAAAAGTGAGCGGTGGGTGAGCGAGCGGAGCTTCCTCTGTATTTGCAGCCACTCCCCAGTGCTAGCATCACCACCTTCGCTCCACTTCAGATCATCGGGCATTAGAAACTCTTAGGAGTACCGGTCCCTGGTGCCAACAAGGTTGGGAACCTCTGTTTTAAGAATTTGGCTCACATGATTATGGGGGCTAGCAAATCTGAAACTTGCAGGGTGGGCCAGCAGGTTGGAAGCCAGGGAAGGGCTGATTTTGCGGCTTGAGTCTGAAGGCAGTCTGGAGGCAGAATTTCCTCTTCCTGGGGGTGTGCGTATGTGGGTGGGTAGGGGAACACTGTATTTTTTCTTAAGGCCTTTAACTGATTGAGGCTCACCCACGTTATGGAGAATAATCTGCTTTACTAAATTTACTGATTTAAATGTTAGGAACATTTAAAAAATACCTTTACAGCAATATCTAGACTGGAGTTGACTGAAAAGTTGGATACCATTACCTAGCCAAATAGACACACAAAATTAGCCATCATAGACAATTTTTTATCATATGCTTTCCTAGCAATAGTTTGTTTCATTATTGAACATAGGATTTTCAGTTATTTTTTCTCAACCTTATTTTTGGAGAAATTAAAAATTTGTCTTCTTTTTATAACAGAAAGCTCTTGTGGTTATCTAGATTGTGATAGGCACCAGGAATGCAGAGGTAAGTTTTAAGACATGATACCCACCTTCAAAGAACATCTTAGTTAACTGATTATAAATATCTTTGATTTTCATACTACCCTTTGGAAATGCATATGTGGAAGGAAGAGATAAAACAAAAACAACAGCCACAAAACTTTCCTTATCCTACCCTTATGTGAACTTGATGTTAACCTCTTCCAGGTTACTTCTCTTTTTAGAATGATTTTTCTGTTAGCACCTTGCTTCTCAGAGATAGGATTCAATACCATTGATGCCAAGTAGGATATTAGAATGTTGAGAGTGAGGTATAGACTGAGTGTAGTTTCTAACTCCTCGTGAGCCTCAGTACTTTTGGAGAAGAACATACTGATTACAGGTCTACCTAATTCTGTCCTTATCGACACAGGATAGAGTGTTACTGTGTTTGTTTTGTTCTGGAAACCTTAAAAGTCTGTCTGTTTCTAATAAAGACTTTGTTAGATAAAAGACTTCAAGGGTACTAAGATTTTTAATATATGGAAGTGAGGTATCTGAAAGGAGAGTAGGGATACCTAAGACTCAAGTTGTCCTTACACTAAGTAAAGATTATATCGTTCCCTGGTGAGAGTCTTACCAAGTCCCCACAAAACACTTCAATTTTGTGTTCAGCCCAACTGTATAACTCTCTAATGAATGAACTGGCCAACTTCAGAATTATGTGCCTCATGCGCAGACTTAATGACTGACAAGGCCTCTAAAGAGAAAATGATAAGTGTCTTATTAAGGGCAGAAATTATATTTGATATTTTTGAATGAAGTTCTGTTGTACGGCTCTGTCTCAAGCACAGTTGCCTCCAGAGTAGGTGCTTGACATGAGCCATTGGAGTGCAAGAAGAAATGATTAGAACTTCTATTTAGATTACATTCTTAAAAAACTTACACTTTTTAAGCCGTTCTGTTTTGTCTAAGTTTTATAATGGACATAATTCTTATGGTAATATAAGTATAGAAGTTTTAAATAAATATGTGTATATAGAGGGTGTTTACTAAAAAAGAAAATAAAAACTGAGCTGAAAGGGTATGTGAAAAATGTTTGGAAATCACGTTGCTGTGCTTCCTCTAAATGAGAGACTTCTCTGCCCAGAATGTAGGGTGTACCTGCCACTAGAGGGAGACATGTGCTCAGGGCTCAGTCCTGGATGCTCCAGTAACATAAACACACTTTACTGGAAGGAATGTCATGTTACCCGTTTAGGAGTAATTATATTGAATGTTGACTCAACTCCAGAAAGGTTTGATGTGAGTGAGTGGTTGCTTTGTGGTTACTGTGCTGTTTTATGAGTAAGAGAAAAACTGCATTTTAACCTGTAATTCAGACTGGTCATCTTTTCTTAATAATCAGTCAGAATAACTGGACAGATCCTTCTGAAATATTTAACATTGAATTAATTTTTACAGTATGGTTTGGCCTCTACTTTGTGTATCAATGTAAGAACATATATGCATGGAAATGACAACATTTCATCTCCGTGTTTATTCTTCACCAGGGTTTACTGTTATCTTGACTTCTGAGTCACTTTATATAGATTTGGAATTCATGTATGAGCTGCTGAGGTGTATTGGCCCTGCTCAGCTGTGTGACCTTGAGCAAGTTACTCATGGGCTCTGTGCCTTAGTGTCCTAAGGCATACTTAAATCTGTGTGGAGCACTGCCCTATCTATCTTTAAGGAGACATGAGCACTTCGAGAATTATGAAGCATTATATAAGTATGTTTAAAAGTTGTTATTGTTAATGATAATATAGTGATTGTTGGTATTTTTTGGAAGAACCGATATGATGAAGTTATAATTTTTGATAAGGAGTTTTATAAAGTGGTATGGTTGATATTCAGAAACACATCTCAGTTCTTTAAAATGTACTTCTCCTTTTTGGTTTTGTAACTTCTGTTAGGACTTAGACAACATGTTAGATAAAAGAAAATGTGACCGAGCTCTGCAGTTGCAGTGAGTTTGAGGTTTGCTTTTTCTGAAGTCGTGTTTAGGTATATCTGGGCCTTTCATTGCACAGCCTCTTTTCCTCCATTTATTTGAGAAACTTGAACTTTACCTTCCTTGATTCCCATTTCTCTGGAACTGCTAAAGGGAAGTACAGTTCTCTCCACTCTCCACTCTCTTGTAGGGAGGAGAGAGAGCAGCTGTTCAAATAAGGGGTCAGAGGTTCAGGTTTGTGTTGTATAATCAGTTTCAGTATTTGGTGAAAGCCCGTTGAAAACAGTAATGCATGGGATGAAAGGATTCGAGGCCTTGGTCCTGCCCTGTGTTTCAGCTGCAGTCACAATAGTATGAGTAGGAGTGACACGGTGACTATGATGGAGTATGCCAGGCCTGTGTCATGCTTTCAGCTATTCCACATGAAATGCATTGTTCCTTTACCCTCTCCCTCTCTCCTCTCCTTCTTTGCTGCCCCCTGGGGGGCGACTGCTGCTTCTGTGTCAGGGCTCGAGGCCAGTGTAAGGAGGTGAAAATACAAAATCCCTAAACCCTTAACATTTACTTATTCTAGATCTGTGCCACCCGATTTTCCATTTAGTGTAGAGTGAAGTGGAAAAATTCTAATGCTGAGGACAGGGCTCAGAGACTCATGTTACACAGTGGCCAGGCAGGTGGTGCACTGCTGTGTCCAGGGCCACTAGGAGGGTGGGGACTGTGGTGACTGGGAAATGGACCCAACTTTTAGGAGCAGGGGAGCCTCTCTCGGATTCTGCTTGGGATTGCAGACCCAATGTTGCCTTGACCATCCAACATTTTGAGAGAACTTGTATATCAGGATTAGTATGTCAACTTTCCTAGTCTTAAAACACTTTACAGTCCAAGGCAATATGTTGGTTGGCCATGTTTACTCAGATGCCTGTCACTTTCTAACTCCTGGTGCACATTTTATACTACATTTACTTATTTGCCTATTTAGTGTTTCAGAACCATTTCTTCTCTGGGTGAAGGAGGAAGAGAAGCCTGACATCCATGTGAGGGAGTTATTACGTGGGCTTTGAGGACCTCCTGATTCAAAACCCTGACTGCGTCTGTCACTTGTGACCTGCAGATGGGGTCACATTGTTGACCTCACCTCTGAGCAGCAGGATGAGGGGATGTCCCCGCAACCCTCCAGAGCCCCAGACCATCTCTTCATCTTGGTTTCTTTCCTTTCCTGTGTTCAGTGTATGAAGGAAGAAGCAGCTGCATCTTTGGGTGCCCTGGGGATGTGGATAGAAGGGAAAGTGTAAAGGTGCCTATTCACTTCTCTCTGGTGCCCCAGGAAGCAGACTTCCTCCTGAGTAATGAGAAGCCTGAACCAGCTGCACTGGGCAGAACTGGCCAAAGTAGCAGCAGCGTGTACATTTCTTCTTTCCCTCTATTTAAACCATCACACATCCAAACCCTGAAATTGCATGTATTTGTTGTT